AGAGTGGCAGGAGGAGGTCAGAGGGTGTCAGGGCTCAGCACACAGGCTCGGGGCGAGCGGGGTGGAGACGGGGAGAGTTTGGGGGGCAGCGTGGGCAGGTGGGGACCATGACGAAGAATGGGAGGGGCCGGGTACACACAGGAGCCTTGGCAGCCGGGCCCGCCAGCCAGGGGGAGCCCTGTGAGCCGGGAGTGGGGCCGGAGCAGCCCCACTCTGAGGACAGCAGGAGGCAGGGCAGGGGGCTCACAGGGGGCTGTGACTGGCTTTGTGTGGCCCTAGGTGGTCTGCAGGGAGTGCAGCTGTGACGAGGTGGCCTCGCTCATCCAGAAGCTCTGTGAGAACATCGGGGCCATGGACCTGCAACGTGACAAGGCTGCTGTCACCTGGATAGGCACCTTCCTCCAAATGAGGGTCAAGGAACTGGACGACAAGGTGGCAGAGCTCCACAGGGCCCCCTAAGGGTGGGGCTGGGGCTGCCCAGGGCACCCAGGCTGCAGAGCCACTGTACTCCCTGGGGTTGCCTCCCCACACCCTGGCTGCTCCAGGGGCGCAGGGAGTAGAGTTGGATTCGACAGTGTAACCTGGTCAGTGCGTGGCGGGGCCCAGGCCACAGCCTCCCATATCGGAAGCCAATAAAGCAGCCCAAGGAAGGGAGCAACCAATGCGCAGGAGAGGGTGCTGGGGGTTCAGCCCGCCCACCGTCCTCCCTGGAGGAGGGGTGCCCTGTGCCCTCTACAGGTGATGTCTGGCTCGAATGCCTTAAGTGTAAGTTAAAAGCAGACCCTGTACCGAAGTTCAGGGGTCCTTGCCAGCAGACCAGATAAACCCCGCCCAACCCCTTCCTCCACTGGATGCTGAATGCCAACTCCTCTACCTCCCCAGCCCTGCAGTGGCCCCTGGCCAGGGTGATGGGTTTCCCCATGGAGCGAGGGTGCGCTGGGTCCCAGGGAGCAGCAGGGGCCACCAGGAGCCAGTGCCCACTGCTGCAGTTCCGTGGGGCCAAGTCCGGGCCCAGTGGCCGCGGAAGCTGCGTCCCAGTTCACTGGCTTCAGTGACTGTGACTGGCATTGCCCACCAGAGGGTGGAGCCCTGACCCCACGTGATGGTACCCAGGTCATGGCACCGTGGCGGGCCTCACGAGGGCTGAGCGCTCTCAGAAGATGCCAGGGCCTGTGCCCTCCCTCCTCCTGCACACACACTCGTCCACAGGCCAGCACAGTACCCTCACTGGAAGCCGACCTTCCAGGGGCCAGGCTTGCAGCTTAGAACCCAGACCAGAACCTGCATCTATAACCACTGGCAGCCCGTGTTGACTCACAGCCTCTGTTATGGTCCCAGTGCCATGCAGTGCCCAAGAGCAGGGGACATCAGAGTGAACCGCTGAGGGAGGGATGCAAAGGGAAACTGTGCAATCTCTTCCTTTCTTTAACCTTTTATTGAAATTAAAATCATGACAGACAACAGGGTTTCAACGACTGCTCCACATGGTCAGTTCATGATTTTGCCGCTGTTCTCCGAGTATCAGAAATAAGTCATTAAAATGTGCTGTCTTATCATAAACGCTGCCATCAGAGACGTGCGGTGTCCCTCACAGATGCTCCGCAGCTCCGAGGACTATGGACTAACGTGGGATGCTGAAAGACAACACACTTTCACCCCAACCCAGCCAGGCAGTAGGGATTACTTTTTATGCACGAGTAATGTTCCAGGCTGCTGTCTCCTAACATGGGGGAAACTATGTACAGGGGCATCTGAATTTAAAGGAGCAAGCAGCCATAACTTCCTTCCAGGATCACTATATCCAGGGTACAAATGTAGGTTTTGCAACAGATATTCTAAAATCATCAACAGGAAATGTAAGAGAGAATTCTCAGAATATGACTAAATTTATAAGTGACCAACTATAATCTCAGCCCTGCCAGGCAGAGCATAGACTGCCTGGCACTGTCCCCACGGAGGTGCAGTGACACAGCTCAAGACAGGATGGATGCAGCATCTTTCAGGGCCAGGGCAGAAAAGGAAGCCCCAGCCTGAGCAGGTGACAAGCTTTATAAATTTTATTCATGAGGCTGGCGACCTGCAACTTTGGCTCTTCCGCAAAGTTAAAATGGCCGTGAAAGGGACACAGTTTTAACTGAGGCAGGACTTCTAAAACTGCTGCAGAAAGTGGCAGGGACAATGGGACACATTTGAAGAAAGCAAGGGGAAGGATTTTGATGAAGACTCCTGACAGCACGTCTTTGGCTGTAACACACATAGATACGCACAGAAATGTTTAACTCATCCTGCAAAGATATACTGGATGGCACACTTTGCTCAACGCTTTGGAAACCATTTCAAAAGAGCAGCTGCTGCATGGGCTGCCGTGGGGACACTCAGGAGTCTGTAGGTGGACAGGGCCAGTTCTGACGTGACCAACCTGAAGTGGTCTCCACACAGAGCCACCAGGGTGTCACTGGCCACCTCTGCTGTCACGTAGCCCTCCATCTTCAGGGGACAAAACCATTTCAAGAGCAGCTGCTGCATGGGCTGCCGTGGGGACACTCAGGAGTCTGTAGGTGGACAGGGCCAGTTCTGACGTGACCAACCTGAAGTGGTCTCCACACAGAGCCACCAGGGTGTCACTGGCCACCTCTGCTGTGTCGTAGCCCTCCATCTTCAGGGGACATGTGCGGTGCCATCAGCTGGGCCTTCATACCCTCCCCTCACCCCACACCAGCTCCACCCTCCTACTCCTGGGCCCCATGAGGTGACAGCGCAATGGCCTTGGGCTTCCCAGGCTTCCCCACCTCCTGCACTGGCACAGGGAGGGCACGAGGGGGCTGGGGCCCCGCCACCTCAGGGAGCGCCCTCGTCTCCTGGGAGGCGATGGAGACCAGGCTCTGCACACACTGCTCACCCAGATCCCCCTCCTGCTGGATGATGTCCTGGAGAACGTGGTGATGTAGAACTTGCGCTGGGTGGAGATCTGGGAAGCGAGTACAGTGGTGAGAAGGCCGTGGGCCGGGCCACTGGGTCTGGGACAGACCCTGTCCTGCCCAAGCACCACAAGTCCACTTCCCGGCCCACCCCGTCCTGGATAGGGAAGGCCACCACCATTCCGCAGCCACCCCTCTCAGATGCGGACTGCTCTATCTCCATCTTCTCCCCTCTCCCTCCCGCCCCTCCCGCTGGCCTCACTGATGTGACTTGTGAATCAATCTCCCTTTCCTGTTTCAGCTGCTGTTAAGCAAAGTGGGTGTCAAGCGCTCCACATACAAGGTCTTCACACCAACCATCCTGAAAGTCTGAGGAAGCACGCTCACCCTGCCCTGTGCCCTGGCATGGGAGCATTTCAGACCAGGAGTCCTGCCTCCTCCTCTCTTCATTCTACATGGGCCTTACTTATCACCTTCTAGAATGACCCAGCTGACAGTGAGGCTGGACGGACAGGTTTGCACCCGACACTGTGCCTGGATAATGCTGATCTCACGTGACTCTGACTTGGCCCGGGGTGACAAGCCACTCTGAGGGAAAAGAGCTTGGGTCCAAAGACAAGTACTGCTGTTGCCTCCCAAGCCCTCAGGGAAAGTGGTAGGAGGTGCAAAATCCTTGGCAGATTTGGGGACCCCACAAAGGGAACGATTCACACAGATTTACAAGTCTTGTTGGCAAAATGCACTGCAGAAATCTGAGTGTTGCTTACCCAGTCTTGGGATAACAAACAGTGAAGGCCGCTAAGATTTGGCCAGAGTTGCCTTTGATAACTCCGGACACAGACAGTGCTGCAGCCTACTCCATACTGCATGGCTCCAGACCAGTGTTTCTCAGCCTTTCTTCTGGTTTTGTTATTGCCCTCCAAGGAGCCCTTGAGACATCCCCCCACCGAGTGAAATTTTAATAGCACAATTCTACTATACACGTGCTTGTATATATGTCATACGTTAAACAGTAGAATCTTCATTTCTTTTGGAGGCAGAAACACCGTCCTGAGAATGCCTGCTCTAGGCTTCCAAAGTACATTGAAATAGGCTTAAATGCTTAGTGAACACCCTGACTGAACCTTATATGAATGACTAGACAAATCACAAGGCCGGTCTCCGTGTGATCAAGGACAATCTTCAATCATCAGAGTCACAATAGCCAAGAAACGAGTCAACCACAATGCCTACCAGTGGGTGACTGTGTAACGGAACCATGGTCCATGCACGAAGCAGGATCCTACTCAGCATGACAGGAAGAAGCCCTATCGGTGACCACACAGACCGGCCTGCAGGACATTGCCCTAAGTGAACTAATCCAGGCACAAAAAGCCAAGTACTGTGAGGTCGCACTCATGTGTGGAAGTCAAGAGCCATTAGCTGAGACACTGGGAGTCAAGTGGTGGTTCCCAGAGCTGAGGGGAGAGGGGGAGAGGAGCCAGGCTGAGGTGCAAGGGCACAGCTCTGGAGCAGGGGAACGTGCCGGTGCTCCATTGCACAAGAGGGCGGACACAGCTAGCAATAGTGCAGCGCCTCAAGGGTGGATTTCCCATGCACTCATCTCCAGGAGTGGAAATTGCGGTGATGAATAGGCTCAGCACTCAGACTCACTATTGCGCATTGTACACAGAGCTTGGAGCACCACATTGCACCCCAGACGTAGGCCCTTATGATGTGTTTCTCAAAGAGAAGACAGAGAGAGAAAGGGAGGAAGAAAGGGAGAAGGGAGGACGGAGGAGGGTGGGGAGGAAATGATGGAGGAGGATAGAAGGGTTTGGGAGATGCCGATGATCACAAGAGAAACACTGAACAGCCTGGAAACTGGAGAGAGTGATCACTGGGTGGTATCCCGAGGAGGGCCTGGGGCTGCCTGCCAGATGCCCGGGACCTTCAGGCTCTGGAAGGTGCCTTGACTGATTGGGATTGCCTCGTCTACTTTACAGCTCTGTAAGGCGGGAAGATAAATTGTAGAAAACTATTACAAATGCGAATGCCTTCTCACAGCTATGAGTCATTCCCGCTCAGGGCAGAGAGAAGGGGTTTATCTGGTAAAGAATATAAATCTCTATTGGAAAACTTCTGAGGTGCACAGCTTTTGACATTTAAGCAGTTCTTCCCTAATTAAGGAATGCGCAAGAGTCTTCCATGCATGTTCCTTTTTGAAAATACGCCAACTTGTCTATGGTCTGCTCATCGGCACTAATCCCTGGTTGGGGCCTAGGCAACATCATTATTACTTTCTGTATTTTCTGATGCTCTGATATCTGGGGATCCTAGAGAGACCGCCCTTCCCAGAGTTAGCCCACTCCCAGAGATAGTGCAAAAGCTGCCTGTGAGCTTGTGTTTGCAATACAAAAACAAAACCAAACAGGACTGAAATGAACTCTCTCGAACCATGAGTGTTGATGCCCACTCCCCGGTGACAGGGGACTTGGGAATGGGCCTCAGAGAGGTCTGGAGTTAAATAGGTCACAAGAGCACATCCCTCATCCTGTGGGGCTGAGGTCTTCATAAAAGGAGGTGGAGGCAGAAGGGCCCAATCCATCCCTGCCTGCACAGGGCAAAAGCCTTGTGAGGACAGCAAAAGTCAGCTGCCTGCAAGCCAGAGAGCCCTCTGCAGATCTCAAGCTGATGGCGCCTTGATCAGGGCCTTCTGGCTCCAGAATTGGGCGAAAATACATTTCTGATGCTCAGCCCACACACTACGTGGTGCTCTGTTAGAAAAACCTGAGGAGACGGAGACACTCAGGAACCCACAGCACATGAGTGACTCCCATACCCACGGTCACGGTGCAAGGGAGCTTGTGAAGTGAGTGTCAGAGGCCCCGAGGAAGGATCTGCCGGTGCGGCCCATCTCTGCGTCCCACCATGTGCATGGCGGGAAGGGTGGAAATGTGTGTGGGCAGGGGTGGGGGTGACACGAACACGCAGGCCAAGCTGCTGAGCTCTGCCGAGGCTGCAGCCCGGGCGAGGCGTCCCCACCTCCAGCGCCCGCAGGCAGTGGACCAGGGCGTTCAGCACCACAGCAGGGTCCGCGGCGGCCTTCTCTGTGATTATCCCTCGGCCAGGATCTTCCGCGGGTCTGGACCTGCCGGGGCCGTGTCCACCTCTGCTGACTCGTTGTCCATGCTGTTCAGGAGGTTGGTGACTTGTTGGAAGGTACCTGAGATAGAGATCACACAGGTCACTCTCGCGGGAGCAGCTCCCCGGCCTCCCCTACACCTGGAGGCCTGCAACATCCCTGCGCAGATGGGGAAACTGAGACGCAGGCTGGGACTGCCTGCCTTCCAGGAGGGGTGGCAGGGGTTTGCGGTCCAGGTGCAGGCGTGCGGGGACTTCCTTACCATCTGACTCAGGGGGTCGCATGGCCTCCATCTCCACCAAGTCATCCTCACTCAAGTCCGTGGCTGCCTCTGCCATCTCCTCCTCAGATTCTTTGGGGACAAGTGAGGTTGGTCAGATACTCGGCGTAGCCCCACCCCGAGGTGACCCTTTCAGATGCACACTCTTCACGCACACCTTGCCCTCGAGTGCAGGCAGCACCTGTGACTTGATTCTAAGCAACAGAACATGGCGACGGTGAGGAAGAGGCCCATCTTGACTGGGAGACGGATGGCAGCTTTTGGGGGAGGGCCCTCCCCGGGGTGGGTGGCCCTGTAGGGCAGAATGGCTGGGAAGCCACTCCTGTGATGACATTCTTAATGTAAAACTCTGTCTTAGCAGGATGGGGGCAGACAGCAGCTGAGATGCAGATGCCCATGCAGAGGCTATATGGAGAGTAGCTGGAAGTCTCCATCTTAAAACAACAAGGAACCGAGCTCTGCCAACAATCAGGAGTGCTTGGAACGGGACTGAGCTCCAGATAGAAGGTAGCCCAGCTGAGACCTGGACTTCAGCCTCTAAGACCCTGAGCCAAAGACTCAGCTGAGCCACATCCAGGCTCCTGGCCCTCAAAAATTGTGAAACTGGGTGCCCCGCAAGGCCCCTTGGGAGGGGGTGGCCATCTGTTACACAGCAATTGTTACACAGCAATTGAAGGCAAATGCAAGAGCCTATTTCTCTTTGCTAAACACGGAAAGATCATGACCAAGGCACTCAGCCACACTGCCACTCCTCTGCAGGGCTCTCTCAACTTCCATGCCTTCTCAGGGGTGAAAGATCCACAGCTCTGGGAACATTTCTCTCCCTATGTCAAGTTCCTCCATCTCTAAGGTCCAGGGCCTTTTACCACCTTGCACCTTTACCCTCCGGGAAATCCTTCAATCCTACTTTGGGACCTAAATACTGACCTTTCCTCCCAGGCCTCTGTATGGAACAAGAATACAGCATAAGATAAAGCTCTGTTCCTTGCCTACTGTACATCCAAGGACATCTGAGCAGTGGCAGGACCAGGTGTCCAGGTGAGACAGTTGGGCCCCTCTGTTGTTATTCTCATGAGGAGTGCGTCTTCTGGCAGGGTGGGAGGCTTTCACTAGATGCCTGGCCCTCGGAATGTTGACATCCAACTGCCCCCTTGAGTCTCTATCATCCCAGGCCTTGGAAGAGTACACAGGGCCCTGGGATTAAACTCCATGTCACGCTGTTGTTAAACATGTCTGTTACCACGTATCATATGTGTGTTATGTATGGTGGCCTGTTTGTGATAGGGACATTGTCAGGAGTCAGGTGATTCCCAACCACGTCCTCTTGGGATGGAGCCCAGGGTGGGGAGGTGTGGTCAGGGCAGAGAGAAAGAGAGGGGAGAGAAGGGAATGGTAGATAGGTTGCAGGAAAGGACTCTCCTTGCTAAGGAGTGGGTATGTGTGGTGTGGAGAACACTTAGATGATAAAGAAGCACAAAGAGTGCAGTGGTCCTGCTTCCCCAAAGCAAAAGCAGGTCCCCAAGTATTTCCCATCACCTGCAGCTAAGGCAGCAGATCCAGATCAGTATTTTGCAGCACAAAATAGGAGCCCTTGGGAAAACTTGGAGGGCACTGTGGGCCAGCAGCATGAGGCTCAGAGCCCTGCCCGCTCACGGCTCCTTCGGGAGAACTTCCACTTAAAATCTGAAGAAGAGCATGGTTATCGAGTGTGCAGAGAAAGGGGCGATGTTTATAAACTGCAGGTAGAGTGAGAATGTAATGTAAGCCTCGACAAAAGTTCCTTATCCTTGACCATGTTATTTGGAGAATACACTTGGGCCATAAGAGTAAAGTTAAAGCAAGTTATTGCTGGCTTTCAAAAATGAAAATGTTTTTATTTTTCTCTTCTTGCAACAGTGGTGTTGACCTCGCATGGAATCCAGTCCACAGATCGGCCTCTTTTGGGAGGCACCGTTCTATGGAGGTTCCATCTCCGCTTCTTCAGGAAATAACTGGGAAATAATTATGCACTGTACTTGTAGGACTCTGTGAGCTTAAGTGCATGGACTGAATAAACCTTTCCCTTCTGTGAGTTGGTTCCCTCGGGCGCTCCGATGCTGCGATGGGAAGCTGACCAGCTGTGATCGTGTATAAAGATGCAGGGCCCTTGGGAATTGGCTAATGGGAAAGGTGGGACGGGTTCAGAAGAGCTGGAGGGAAAGCCGAAGGAGCTGCCGAGGGAGCACTGTGGGTGCCACCACTGAGGGCTCAGATGAGCAGAACACGAGCTCAAATGTGGTCAGGAAGGCACTGTGGGTGTTTCAGGTGGAAACGAGGATCTCACTGGTGACCTGGAGAAAAGAGCACCTTTGCAGCACCGTGGCAAAGAATTCAGCTCCATTGTGTCCATTCCCTGAGACCGTGCATGGCCGACCTTACCAGAGGAAAATCTCTGAATGGCAAATCCTTCAGACTGTGGAATGGATGTCATTGTGTGGTTCGAGCCACATTTACAGGGAGGATCAGGGACAAAAGGGAGCAGAACACAAAGATATAAAATTGAAAACCTGGTCAGGAAGGGAGTTAAACAGATGTAAGGGTGTGGCTAAGGAGGGTGTCATTGCTGTGGAGATGAATGTCAACAGAAGGAAATCAAATGCTTTCAGTCAGGAAATCAGACCCCCAGAAACCCAAGTCCAGATAAAATCCATTGTTGGCTCCAACTTGGGCTCCTACTATGTGGGGCCACGCTTTTGAGCTTCTAAAACTGTGAGCTACATAAACCTTTGCTCTTTATAGGTTACTTGCCTTAAATGTTTTGTTACAGTAATGAAATGTGTGTGTGTGTGTGTTACTGAGGATTGAACCCAAGGTCTTCATACTGAGCTACTTCTCCAGCCTTCTTTTATCTCTTATTTTGAGGCAGTCTCATTAAATGACTAAGTTTCCATGCTGGATTCCAACTTGCAATCCCCCTGCCTCAGCCTTTCAGAGAGCTGAAATTACAGATGTGCAACAGTCCCCCACATACACTAAGGCCACAGTGTTTTATAAGTATATGTACTTCCCACAATAGTAGCTGCGTTCACAAAACTTCCCTAAGCATAGCACATGCGTGTTAGAAATCACAGGTTTCAGTCCTTGATCCCTCGGCCCTGTTAGTTTAAGTGTGTTGTCAAGGCGGACACATTGTAGGAGTGGGGGGTGGTAGAAACCACTAACCTCATGCAGGCTGGGAAGCAGAGAGAGAGAGAGAGAGAGAGGGAGAGATACAGGGAGAGGGTGAGGGAGAGGAGGAAGCTAGAGTCCCTGTGTCCCCTCAAGGGCCCGTCTGGTGACATAACTTCTTCCCAGTAGGCCCATCACCTAAGGGATCCACTGCCTCCTACTGTCCATACGCTGGGGACCAAGCCTTCAGCACACAGGATTGTGGGGGACACTCAAGATCCAAACCATACTACTGACACTGGTTGTTTCTGGGCACTGTAATTACTGGCGAGTGTGCACGTGTGTGTGTGTGCACATGTGATGTGTGTGTACACCTCCAGACTTTTCCCACTTCCTGTAATCATCACATTTTACTCTCAACATTAGACAATGCAGTGTAATAGTATGTAAATAGATGCAACACCACTGATGAGAAAAACACCTCAGAAATAGAATTCATGTGAATTTATTAATAACATTTTAGCTGTGACAAACATTAGAAAAAATATACTCCCCAGCATTATACTTTGGTTCTACCACATCCATTTGGCACAATCAGTTCTTATCATCTGAAATACATCACCCATCTGTTTTCTCCCCAAAGTTAGAAATCACATTGTTTTCAAGGATTCCAAGCCATTCACTGATACCCTAAAAGTACAAAGGTCTCCTTCTCTGAACACAAAGAGCGACACCCAGCAAGCATGACGGTAAGAGGGACCAACCCTCAGTGCTGGGCTACTGACAAGGGAAGGCTACAGGAATCATGACCATAAAACCATCCCGGAAGTGAGGGGAACCTCCACCCACCTCTGAATCCTGTACTCCCAAAGAGGCAACTTATCTAAGAAAAGCACACCCTCTGCAAGTCATTTGATAACTCAAGATACTGGGGAGGCAGAATCCATATTTGAAAACTGTTGCCTATAGGGATGACCAGTGATCCGATTATTTTTATTTTTCAGAAATATCTGAGGATGTCTAACTTTACCCAAAGGATTTCTTTCATGAGCATAAAAAGAATTTAACACTGACTCTATTTTCAAGTTTGCGTTTGATTAGAAAATGGAGCAAAACTTTTTCCTTTTCTCCCAACCCGCTTCTCAATGGGTCTTGGATTTTTGGGTTTTCTTCACTCGCCCCTTCTTCCCAAAGCATTTGCGGAAGCCATAGGCACAGCACTTGAAGGCGACGAAGGCCACCAACAGCACGATGGCCAGGAGGAAGCCGATTACATCCAAGGAGTGGTACTGGTACCAGGTGAGGTCGTGGGCTGCAGGGCGCAGGTGCGGCGCCCCCTTGTGCCTCATCACAAACTCCACCCAGAACACAGCCAGGTCCAGAGGCTCTATGGGGCGGTCCTTGTGCAGGCTGGACAGGCGCATGATGTTCTCCTTGTAGCTAAGCACAGGACAGTTATGTAAGTGCCTGGGACACAGGGCAGCGCAAGTCCTACCTTTACACCTGCTTCCAGTTCGGGGCGACCACATTTCCTAAATGAGGTAGGGAAATGTGTTTCTATACTACTCAGGAAACACCCACACCTAAGACACGTTCCTTCTGAAGGTGGAGGAGGAGGCAGGGAGAGGAGAAGGAGGAGAGCGGAGGGAAGGGGACAACACAGGTCGCATTCTTCTGCAGCTTTTCTCTTACCTTTTCTCATAGATGACCTTCTTGAGAGCATTTCCTAAATCATCGGAGGTCATTTCAAGGACATTCAGGGTCACACCCGCTCCCCTCGTCTCCATGCGCTTCGCGTTGTCCATCTGATCGCCAAACAAGGGCATCATGACCATGGGGACCCCATTGCAGATCCCTTCGTAGATACCGTGGGAGCCAGAATGCGTGATAAACGCCCGGGTCTTCGGGTGACCTGAGAAGCACAACAGACGCAGGTGGTCAAGTGGCTGAGTCTCCGGTGCACAGACTCAGCTCCCTCCACAAGTCCCTGGCGGCAGCGAGCAGAGACAGCCACAGCCCACAGGAGACACACGCGGGAGGCCTGCTGGCCGTGCTGCTGTCAAGCTATCCGGTCCTTTACATTAGCTCTGCCTTAGCCATTTCTGCATTCAGCCTGGCTCGACCTACACCTCACATTCTCCCGACATACCAAGCAGATCATTCTGGGGTAACCACTTCACAAGGATCGTATTCTTCGCGAGATTCGATGGTGGAGTTCCAGTGTAGCGCCACAGGACCTTGCAGGGACAGACAGAACAGAACTTAACAAGAGACACGATAGGATGTTGTTAAATCTATAGCAGCCGAATGAGGAGTCCTTGCAAGGAACGGAATGGACAGGGCGCTGCACGGCAGGTGCCTTAGCCAAAGAAGTTCTTCGTGGCTAGCGGTGTCTGCATCTTGTCCTGGGGGCTTAGCGATCAGGCTGTGCTGGCTGTGTGGATACGAAAAGAGACCAAGCTGCACATTTAGAATTTTGCCACTTTTCTGCGATTCCAGGGAAAGTTTAGTTCATAAATCAGCTGTTTGCTGAGTCATATAAGCAGAAAGAAGTAGAACAAATTCCACGGCCTAAGGAGCAGCCTTCTATAGAAATTCTCATTCCATTCAGGAAGAAACAACATCATATTGATTTATTTCTACCTATGTTCTCCCTAACACTTTAGGATCTCTCAGAGAAAATGAGACTTCAGAGTGAAGAGGACATGGTTGAAGAGCAGCTGAGAGTTAAATGTACAAAATGATAAAGGGAAGAACTTTGGATTAGTAGTTGGGAAGGGCAGGGAATATAATATCCAAAGCTCCAGCTAAGAGGGTTAATTTGGAAACACCAAGTCTGGGTTTATAATTCCTGCGAAGATACTTATGAACGAGTCACAGAAAGTTTTCTCACCGTTTGAGGAATTTGGCCCAAACCCTCAGCGATAGCCATCGCTTTCTTTTCCGGGATTTCTGAGACCATGGATCCCAGAGAGAAAACCACAATTCCATGTTCTCCAGAAGCATTAATATAAGCTTCAAATTCCTACAGCCAAAAAAGAAATTTCCAGTTAATATTTCCAGTCATGTTCTTTGGTAACAAGATACTCTCAGCTGTGAATTTGAGATCTTCCTCTCAAACAGATGGTTCAATATGTATGAAATAAAGAAAACGGCTCTTAACGTGTGGGTTTCTATGGTAGGGTGGGATGCACCAGAAGCCATCATCGCCTGCTGTGAAGTTTCTGTCTGCCCGTTACCAGGAAGCTTGAGAGCAATATCTAAATTCCCACGCATTAAATGAAACACACGCACCCCCGCTCCTTTACAGTGGAGGAAGGCTTCTTGTTTACAGGTTGACCTGCGGGGTTTTCTGGAGGCAGGGGATGCAAGCAACATGTTAATTTTCCAAAACGAAAGCAGAGGCACACGCACATATGTGCGTACACTGCATGCCCACACACACATGCACACACGGACCCACAGGCACGGCACACGCATGCGCAGTCCCACACCATGGCAGTCGCACTCAGTGGCCACAGAGCAGCGAGGCATTACATCACTTCCCTCCTCCCGCAAACCTCGTGTGATGGGTCTGGGCTGTGTGGGCTCCAGGAAGAGGAGCTCAACTAAAGCAGCTGTGCAACCGCGCATGCTACAGTGCAGAAGACCCGCCCAAGGCGCCTGGGTCTGGATGGTACAGAGGGGAAAGGAAGAGGGGAAGCTCTGCCTCTCTGTGTTCAGAGGACCTCCATTCGGCCCATGGACGTCACCTCCTGGCTCCCGGCAAAGACTCTTAGCTTCCCGTGTAGCCTCCATCACAGAACCATGCATGGCCTCTTTATGTGGACTCACAGGACAGGGCAGTGAGCTCCAGACTTCTGAGTGAATCCTTTGCTCTCCAGGGCGTAGACCGACCCTCTGCACTCTCCCTCATCCTACCCTGTGGGCCCCCCTTGTGAGCCAGCCTTGGAAATCCTTCTATACTGGCATATCTTGGGTTAAATCTGTTTCTCTAGTAAACACTGACTGATACACCAGCAATGACCTCATTAACCCTTGTAAGGTTCCCACATGGTTTTGTAGGTTTCCAAAGAGCACGTCACCGGGAAGAATTTTGCCCACAGCTCTGGGTCCCTAGACAGGGTTACAGTGTGAACTATGCTGGGTAAACCAGGATCTTGAGCACCTCACCTGAGAAGCAGAGCAATCCCAGAACGCCTCAGCATATAGGACTTAGGTGAACAGAAACTTCTGCTGAGCCCTAACCTGAGCAGGGCTGGGATGGCCAAGACCAACCTTGAACCCTTCCCCAAGCATAGCCAGTCTCCTTCCGACCAGGCCTCGGGCTCCAGGCTCACAGCAGCTGTGAGCTGGCCCAGTCCACTGGTGGGCACTCACAGCACACATGACACAGAGGGCTGTTTGTACCATCGAAAGCTCTAAAAGTTTCTCTAGCCCTGGCTAGTTCACGCTGATCGAGGAGGTCAGAGAGGCCAGACTTGTCCCCTCCACCACGGCCACACTCCACTTGAAGTGTGTGGCAAGGACATCCTGCTGGTGGCTGTTCCGAAGTCCTCCCTTCCCAACGCCATACCCTGCCCCCTCCCTCTTTCCCCTGTCCTTACAGCTGGAGCCAAGGTTACCACTCAGTACTGGCAGCGGCTGACTTGCACTGCCCCAGACCTTTGCTCCTCCAGGCTGCACCCCTCCAGAAGGGAGAGGCTGTTTGCCCTCCTCCACACCTCCTGGCCGCTTAGCCACTAGGATGTGAGTAAGGCCAATCAAACCACAGGTCTATCAACACCCAGAGGCAAAAGGCAGGCCTGAACTAAAGGTTGAACAGCAGGTAAGTTTCTCTAGGTGAAGGCAGAGCATTGTGTTATCTGTGTCCTTTATGGGCCCCAATGAAGGTGTGCTCCATCCCCTACTTGGTAAACTTCCCAGCACTGTGCGTGACTTCCTAGGCCATGGACGAGCCAAAGAGTGAGTCAATATGTTAACTGTGCATAGCCTTTGATTCCCCCACCTCCTGTCCCTTTCCATCCAAAGAGGAGGTGCCTCTCTAACCGTTAAGGCTTGGGAAAGACTTCCCCACTCTGGGGAGACCTCCCTGTGCAAGGCAGACCTTTAGAACACAGCCGAGGTTCTACTGAGAGTTTTGTCATTGCAGTGTAGGCCTTTTCTCCGATATTCCTTCTCATGTGCCTTTTGTCTTTCTAGAACCCACTGAATGTGAGAAACCTGCCACTGTACTGTTTTGTGTCCTGAGTCAAACACTTGCCCCTCCAGCTTCCCGGTCCCACAAGGGTGCTCTTCTCCTGCCTCTCTGTCTCCAGCAGCCCTGATCTTCCATTAAGCTATTTTTCTCTGACAAAACAAATATAGCTAAGTACAGTCTCTGAATCTCTACTGTACACAAAGACAGTCTCTCACCATGACAAAGAAGTGACAAATGACACACGAATCTTTTGTGGTGCAATCCTTTTTCTCTCAGTGTTGTTCTTTTCACTTCTAGATCCCCCAAACCCATGTCAAAGCCAGACCATGCCTTCTCTTGGACTCTCTTAAATCGGTGATTTCTATCTTTACTCTTTTTTTGTGTGGTGCCTGAGATCAAACCGCAGGGTCCTGTACCACTGTGCTACATGCTTAGCTCTTTTGATTTTATTTTGTGACAGCAAGGTCTTGCTAAGTTGTCCAGACCGGCCTTGAAACAGTGTTCATCCTGTCTCAGGCTCCCAAGTTCTTCGGATAGAGGTACCTGTCAAATATTTTTAGTGCTGGGCATTTAACCAGGGGGTTATTAATGCACCCTCCCCCTAAGATCCATTCTAAGTCCTATTTTTAAAAATTCGGATGTAAATCTTCATTCTATTTTTCCTCATCTTTATTCTTGAAGTTCAGGACTTTGACCGAGAGGGTTGGAAATGGGACAATTGGCACTGGAGGAGTGGAGGTACAGAGAAGCACTTTTGAACTCGCAAAGGAGCAGAAAGAAAATAAACAGTAACTTTCCAAACTGCAAATGTCACACAAAAGAAAATGTCAACGTAAATGAGACATAAAATGAACGGGGAGAGTTACATCAAATCCAGCCACTGGTAAATTCAAGCATGCAAGATGAAGCTTTTACAGCAATCCATCTGACCGGAGCAAACTTATCAACTCCATGTTTTAAAAAAAAAAAGCAACTCAGAGACAAAGGTGCACTAAGGAGGTACTCGGGTAATGTAAATGCAGTAATATAAGGTAGAGATATTAATACTTAATGAGTGGAGCTTCTGATGGAAACCGTGAACAAGGCAGAGACGGATGCTACCAGGTTCAATTTGCACAAATATGTTCACATCTAAGCCTGCTTGCAGCCACAAGGCAGCAATCAACACACTGAGTGGTTCAGCACACAGTTCAGACCAATTTATGGGCAGGGCATAGAATTACATCAGTAAGTGACATAAAGGCAGTTCATAAAATTGAGTCTTCTCTCTCCTAAATATCCTAAGGTGATGAATGAAACGATTGAAATAAAGACTACTTGATCGAGACAATGGCAAACAATGCAAAAATGATAAAATCAAAATCAATCTCCATTCAAATCAGCAGTCAGACAAGAATCTCTGCTAGGACCAGAATCATTCAACTGTTCTCAGAAAGTCTAGAAGATTCAATCACCCTGACTTTTGGAGTGGAACTCAGAATGGAAGATTCTAAAATTCCCTTATAAGACAATCATTACAGGTTAGTTTTTTCTTTATTTATGAACAACAGGCAGGTAGGGTGACACACACCTGCAATCCTAGCACTCTGGAGGGCTGAGGCAGCGGGCTTGCCAGTTTGAGCTCATCCTGGGCACCTTAGCAAGTTCGAGAGACACTGTCTCCCACAAACATTTCAATGAAAAGCTATTTTTTGGCAAGATAGTGACATAGAGAGCATTTGGCTATTGATGGAAAAAGTAGCACAATCACAGTGGTAACATAGACCTAACAAGAATGAGTCAGAAACAGAACAACTATGAAGAAAATTACACAATATTTCATCTTGATGAGATTATGTTTTTGTCACAACAACACAAAGTGCTAGAATACAGATTCGCATGATCTTCCATGGAGAACTAGATTAGAAAGCTAGGAGAAGAAACTGTGGGACCTAAGTACCGTGAGATACTACTGATCAGTTAGAAAATAAGCATGCTATTCAGAACCAGAGAACTAGCCACCACATCTTAACAAGTGGTAAAGGGCATGCATTGCTACCCCAGTTGGTAAAGCAAGCAAGAAAAACCACGTACACATATATATGGAATTATAGGGACATGAAGAACTATTTCTAGCCCAGAAGACTCTCTGCCAGTGCAGGATCCCTGAATTAATGAAGGAACGAATGAATGCCTTGTGAAATGTTCCTCCCGGAGAGTTCTCCCCAAGCCCTGTGTGTAGAGAGGCCTCTGCTGCTATCTCCACCGTCTCTGCTGATGTTTACACGAGGATGTGGCTTTGCACATACCTCAAAGTCTATAGGGAAAAAGTTAGCATAGGAGCACATTCCAGAATGAGATCCATTACCTTTCTGCCCAATGGCCAAACCTGCCTGTTGGCTAAGTGAGTAGTGAGAAGAGAAAGACACTGCAGGACCTGGCTTCCTGCTAGAATATGTAGAAAGTAGAACTTCAACCAAGCCCAGATAGGCAACTTCCTTTGGCAGGATCTGCAAACATCAAAGAATTGTTCCAATGGATTTAAAGTTCTATTGCCTGGATCAAACAAGGCACAGAGGATGCCATATTCTTTAGCTCTCTGCTAGATGCCCCAAACCCAGAACTGCGTGAGCATGACATTTAGTACTTGTTGCATTATGCTGATTACTATCCATGAAGCACACAGAATAAAATGCCCAAGACACAATCTCAGATACAGAGAAAGCACTCAGAAGGTGATCCTGAAAAAAAAAAGAACTTCAAACCTAGGAGGCTTATAAGATAGAAATTCCCAAAAGAAGTCTTTGAAACTCTCTCAGTATGCTCACTTAGCACATACCTTCAGA